CCTTGGTTAGTATGCATAACTATAACGAATTCCTCTTATGAGCATTCTTAGCGGTGGTATGACGTTACAAGTATATATGTTTTCAGTTTCAACTCAGAATTACCACGAAAGTGAGAGTAAAATTCAACGCCCGGGACATCGCGCAGTTTCTAGGGTATGTGAGCGTCAGCTTTTTTTCGACGAGATGCAATTCTTAAGTATGGACACGTGTTCACCTCCCTTTTTCACCGGACACTTCCTTGTATACTGGGGTATAGCTCCATCTTCTTTGTTGCGGTATAGCTTTCGCTACGAATACTCACAGATATGGTAAAGAAAAGAAAAAAAAATATTATATCTGCCCTAACGCATATAGCAGAAACACGGTTGCCACTAAGCAGAATGAAAGATCACTTGGCGCTATTGAACACGCAGTCGAAAGGTCGATATTAGGAGTATCCCGTATCACGTAAATGAGAGAAAGGATCCGAAATTACGACCTACGTCAACGATCGTAGATCAGAGACGCCGTTCCACACGTCAGGATATCAAAAATAAGGTAGGCCGGACATGCGAAGCGCTTCAGCGACAACCGATGGACGAGAGCCGTTACGGACTGGATTTATTAGGATATCAAGCGCATTACAGAAAAACTATCGACCCGACGGTTCGATTTCTTCACGAAAAGCCTAGAAGAAACATGTAATGCTTAGCAAATCCCTAGAGCGAGGAGGACCCACTAGGGTACTCTTGCACGCGACAGGCAAAAATGGAAGTGTTGCTGGTGCCCGCTCGAATCACTCGACGATGAACGCAACGACATGATAAAGGGTTCATGTGGTGCAGCGGTTAGAGGTGTTCTTCGTCGCACAGAAAGTCGGTGGCTCATTATAGCGTTCATGGCTCACCAAGTTTCAGTCCTCAGAGGTCGGAAAATTGTTACGCTTGACTTGGAGGATAAGCAGCACCGACTTGAAATATCGGTAGGCCATCGCGAGTTATTTCAAAGAACATATGTGCATCCAGCCACCTTTGACGAAGCTAAAAATTGGCACGGTCGATTCCTCAAAGATTGATCAACGCCCACAGCTCTTCATCCTTTATCTTATGTTCTTTATAGTTCCGCCATGGGAAAAACCATTTCAGTGCGCTGTGTCACCGAGAACAGTTTGCGGCAAGAGAATGTTGCTTCTTTGAAAACATGTAGCGTAGCCCATAGTGTCGAGTGTTTAGTGATGACGGCCTTGAGGAGAAAGCTTGCAGGTTTGGTTATCCCCCACAACGTTTCATAGTAAGCTAATTAGGACCACTTTTGGTGTTTATTAGCTTGAAGGCTCTCCAAGACCGTAATTATTATCGCGAAAACGCTCAGCTGACTTAGAAATCACTACTTCTTGATATAAAACGTAGATCCGTGAGGTAACGGCAGAACCACCGCATAGGTTCCGCAAAACTGATTGAACTACTCACAAAAAATTTCCTTTTAAAATGTCACGGAGTGAAAAAATGTATTTCCAAATGCGACTCTTACAAGATCGTAGAAAGAATTGCGAACAAAAGTTGGAAATGCATTGTTGTTCCATTTATCTGATAAGTTGTGTAAAAAGGTCGTGCTCTTTGTTCCGAACAAAAGACAAATCTTTTGATCCAAATATTCTTCATCGATTTCCAACTCTCAATTTCGTAAAGCGCTTCCTAGCCGTCCTTTCTACAGCTGTATCATCTCCCCAAGTTTGCTTCACTAACATTTTCCCCTACGCACCATTCGTGCGTTAGTTGCAAGTGCATTTGTTCCCAAGACAGCTTCATTTTGAAACAATTATAGGCAAGATGTATCAAAATGTTTGCAAAAAAATGCGAGATTGACGACACTAAATCATTCATTTTTATTACAAAAATCATATTGTAAAACAAAAACGGCACGAAGTTTGCACAACTTATTATGTTTTTATTCAAAAAAATGGTAAAATATTAGACAATCCAGCGCTTTTCTCGCTGTATCAATTACGTTGTAGAAGATTCTTCGATATTAATCCATATCAAGAAGTGACACCGATTAACTGATTGTGACGCGTAGTGGTGGAGCCAAACCAGAAACCTTCGTCTAAACGGCAATCTTCACTAACCAATTGGCACTTTCAACTACTGGACGCACATGGCGTGGTGTAACTAATGCCACAGGTCTGTCGTACCGCAGTATATAGCAGTTTCTCAGAGTCTATTTTTTTTTTCGAAAAATTAGAGACAAAATTCACATTTTCAAAACATCAATGACGCAAGCGTAGGCACAAACATCAGTGGTTCATTCAGGGATATTATCACATTGTTTTCGACAAAGTCTCGGTCATTCACCTTGCTCGTTATTCGAAATGAGAAACTTTACGAAAAAAACCTTTCACGTTTCCAGATGATCATAAGTTTCCCACAATGTAATAATATTGCTGGCACGATATTGGCATCAATATGTATCAAAGAATTTTTCCTGTTTCAACATATTAACCATGATCTAAGTTGGGCTTCTCGAAAATGAAAGTACCCACTTTTCGGCCATGTGTGGACCATATATTAGTCTCTTATAGACAAGCATTCTTTCTATTATACCACTTTTAGCGGTGACATGATGTTACATATATACCCAATGATGTTGAATAATGCGCGAAACTTGACATCAAGCGGAACTTGAACCTGCATCTCACCCTTTCCAGAAGCACGTGCTTCAACCAATTGCACTATCAACGCTGGCTTTCCCACTACTCTTCCTACGCTACAACGCATCAATCTACCAGTAACCAATAGTCAAATTTGTCCTGGCAGTTGATATCGACACTGAACCCAGTTACGCTCAATCCCGCCTGACGCAAAGTTTTGCATATCACTCAACATCGTTGGGAATATAAATAAATAAATAATATATATATATATATATAAACATATATATAGATATATGTATATATACGTATATGGATATGTAACGTCTTATCACCGGTAAAAAGTGATTGGATAAAGAGATTTCTTGTCTTCTTGTCGATAAGAGATATATATCCAATATCTACAGCGTAATTGGGTTCAATGTCGATCTCGCCTACCAGGTCAAACCGCTGATGGTTGATTGCTGACAGACTGATGCGTTATAGCTTAGAGAGAGTGGCGGCATAACCAGCGTCGATAGTAAAATACGATAGAGCACGCTGCCCCGAAAAGGGTGAGATGCGGGTTCGAGTCCTGCTTCATGACCGAGTTTTGCACATCACTCAGCATCATTGGGCATATATGAGCCATTTGTTAGCGGATATATTAGAGCTGTGGGAACTACAAAAAGGGTAAATGATACATTCCAAAAGGGAAATAAGAAAAGAATAAAACTTTATAGTGAGGACCAAAAGAGTATAGGAAATGAAAGGTAAGTTGGAATAGCACCCCAACTGTGCAGATGCTAGTCGTTAATGTTATTGGAGTCAGTAAATACATATGGTGAAAGTTGGTCGCTTCCTTGGATCTTGTCCCGGCATCTCATCATCAGATCATAAGTACAAGGATTCATTTATTACTTCGAGTCATTACTACAATTGTACTTTATCTTATTTCTTTCCAATAAATGTGCTCAATTCCTCAACTCTCAATCTCACCTTTTTTTACGCTTTAGGTTATCATGAATATTAGTATTAGGAACTATTTTGCCTCTAAGCGATAATCAAGTGTCAATAGCTATCCCAGCTTCAGGTGATTTCTTGGAAAATCTGATAGTATCTATGTCAATCGTTTTGCATAGAGTTTCTTTCGGAGCGGAGAAGCGGAGAAAAAATTCGCATCCCACATTTTCAACGGCCGTAGCATCGATCATTTGCCTCCCCCCTCCAAGCCCATGGACTAGCCGGTAAACAAGCTCGCTGCAAATGCAGAACTCGATCTTATTCTTTCTGCTAAACGATGTTTTCGAAAAATAAGCACAACGGTAAAATCGTTAGAACTTACGATACCGAATGATTACTAATATCTTCAAAAAAGAGCTCTGTTAGACGAGGTGTAAAGTAGAAACCTTTTTTTTTCCTACACCGCTATTGGAAGAGCTTTTCCAAGAAGCAAACATATTTTTGAGTTTTTCGAGACTTGAGCTATCGAATGTGGACTTGCACTCTGAGGAAAGAGTTTTGTGCAGCGGAAAGAAGATTACGTTTCACACTCGGGGTCGCCAGTTTTTGAAACGGCTTAATCGACCTCGCAGCGCGAACCACAAGAAGAGCACGATTTCTTTTTACTCAGTTAATGTTTTTTTCCCTTTTCTTATACCTTTCGCACGTAGGTTCAGTCTACCCAGTCTCAGGCTTGGTTAAGCGTCCACCTGACAATGTGAAGTGAAAATAGAAAGCCTAAGCCCATAACAGCACGATGGAGTAAGTGTCTATAATTTTAATACGAAAAACATAAAGATTACTACGAATCAGAGGAAAAATTTCAGTTAAAAAGCGAAAATATGCGCGATAACGAGCGCCAAGTGTAAAACTCAATTTCATTTTACTGCTATAATTGTTAAAATGTCCTAACTAGCTTTCTACTAACTTCCGAAATGCTAGTGAAAGAGCATTGTCTGTAACAAAAAGACCTTTGCATAAGAATGACTAGCGATAACACAAAGTTACTATGGAAAGTGGTCGAAAACGGCTCCTATTGTGCTTTTTTTGGCTTTTCACTTGTCATCTAGAAAATGATAACAATACTCAATCATGTAGAGAGATGTACAGAACTTTTGCTTCAGGTGAGACTCGAACCTACATTTCACCGTGTCCATGGGCGCGTGCTCGAATCGTTGTACTACCGTCACTTGTCTTCACACCACTGTTTACAGAATAACGCATCTATCTGTCAGCGATCACCAACATCGGTATGGAACGGGTAGTCGCTATCGTAAACGGCTGGTTGTTGACAGATAAATGCGTCGTGGCGTGTAAAGAGTAGTATAAAAACAGCAATCGATAGTGTAACGGCCCGAGTACGGCACCCGGATAGGGTGGAATGCGGGTTCGAGACCCACATAACGCAAAAGTTTTGTGCACCACTCTATATCAATGGGCAAGCTTCAAACATCATACCACTGCTATAAGCGGTTAAATAGAATGAAATTCTGTTGGACAATAATACTATTGTTTGTATGAGAAGTAAACTATGATATACTAAGTAGCTTTTAAGAACTATACCAGAACAATTTCATCGTCACTGTCCGGATTCGACTCATCCTTCCTCCTTTTCTTCGTTCCCAGTTGCGTTGTATCATCAGAATTTCCCTGAAAAAAAATCGAAAAAATGTTTGACACTTTTGAAGACCCTATAATTGTAAATAACTCACTAAGGTTTGACTACTGTGCGAATCGTCGTGGCGCCAAGTCGGAGCGAGTTTTTTCCGAGAATTCAGCAACTCTTCGCATCGTCTCCTTTGATCTGCCAGCTTTTCAGTTCTTTTTTCAACTTTGCCAGCTGTTGACTGGGCACCCCATACAGTGCCGGCTTTGGAGGACTGATGTCCTTGCACTTCAGCATCTGGTCTAGTCTCTTTGGGAATCCAACCCAACAGAGAGGCAAGATCACGAAGAGGTCGCTTCTTTAAAAGTAGTGTCCCATCAGGCAACCTTCTCGCTCGACGTAACTGGCCATACTCATCTCTCAGGTAGACGATGCTTTTCTGAGGATTTTGACTAGCTGTGGAGAGGGATCGTAATTTTCGTTGAGCATTTCCTATACTGTTATTGTGTTCTGAGAGCTGGGATCGACTTCTTTCACTCAACGACGAAGAGATTCTCTCCAATTCACGGATAGTGGCTCGATTCTCGTCAGCTACATTTTGTTGTGCTAGACATGATGTGAATGGTGTTGCATCAGGGAGCATCATTATTGTTCCTCCAGCTATCTTCGATGCACCTGCGACTGCTGGATGATTACTAGATGTTTGCCAACTGCTATGCGAACCTTCTCCTCCTTCTGTGCTTGTCGAAAATTTCATCTCACGAGAGTCGGAAATCGGTGGTTGAACATATCTGTGTGGTAAAAGATATTATTCATAGAATAATAACATGTTCTAAGCCTTTTATGAGGTCTCGTGACGCACTTATACAGCACTAGACAGCCGTTTCGCTCTTCCAGGCTCGTCACTAGCACGGTGAATTTCGGTTTCGCCGACCTCCTGCAAGAGGATGTACCCCTACATATGAAGAAATTCGCAGTGAAATATTTGAATCATCGCATGTCGAGTGGGGAAATCCCCGACATTGCAGACATCGGCTGAACCAAAAGGCATCGTGATATTGAGGGGCCTGTAAGACCGAACCAGCTGTCTACCATTGTACATATGCCATTCCAAACCTCATAAAAGGTTCAGAACATCTTATCAGATTATGAGATCATCCAAGGAAATTGAGTGGTGAGCAAAAACACGGCCTCACGCGGGTATCGAACCCGCGTTTTATCCGTACCGGAGATGCGTATTCTACCACTACACCATCGAGGCACAATTGCTCCACCACTCATTCTACAACATCTCTATGTTAGTTATCAGTCACCAACCTTTTACAGGTTTGGTCGGGTATGCAATTTCGCTTTATAAACCCACATGAGGTGGAAACCATTGTAAGAACTAATACTCAAAATTCCAATATTTCTACTGCATCTACCGCAGTCTTATGATATTTCGTAAATACCTAAGAGAACTGAGTGATGAACAAAAACACGGCCTCAGGCCGGAATCGAACCCGGTGGTGTAGTGGTAGAACAAGCGTTCCCGGCATGGATGAAACAAGGGTTTGATTCCCGCCCGAGGCCGTGTTTTGTCTCATCACTCAATTCTCTTAGATATTTACGAAACATCATAACACTGCGAAAAATACAGTCGAAATACTAGAAGTTTCGAGTATGAGATCATCATTGGTTTTGAGCGGGGTCTATAGAAACAGTCGAAAGTAAAGGTATAATATTCGTAATTTATGGATTTGAGAAAACACTTACCTCTTGAGTTTATCGGTTGTTCCATGAAAATGACTTTCTCGTTCCATCGTTGTGTACTGAGAGTGTGGACGAATGTCCTGAAATGTATGTATTCACTTCGCTGAAGAAGTCATCAATTTATTAGCTTGGCTAAGAGAATCGATCAATACGAATGAATAGCGATATTCGAAGGAAAAGAAAAACTAAAAAGAAAGGATAATGCGACGATCGGGTGGCCCGGCAGTCGAGGACGGCAAAAATCACGTGAGTGGCCAGCGGCCATCGAGGGCTGCGCTGCGTGGATGGTCGCGCCGTGCTGGCTGGGTGGTGGCGCTCGATACGTGTGTCACCGCAGTGCCTGAGTAGCCGCTCTGCTTGGATGGCAGGCGTCGAAGACGGAAAGATGCCGGCGGCTGTTCGTCCAATTCCGTACAAGTCTGAGACCAGTCTAGTATCAATTTACCAACCCTGGAGGGATCAATTTCTTGGTGAGCCATGAGCGCGAGAACGAACCATTGACTTCGTGTATGACGCAGAGCACCTCTAACCAGTGCGCCACATGCGCTCTTGCACCCACAGCAGGATACGATTTGAAAGACAACACGCTCAGAAGAACCTTGGCTGAGGTTCGAACCCAACACTATCGCTTTCGAGGCGTTCGTGTTACGCGCTTGCAGACGTTTTTCCAACTGCGTGCAGTTGGCCTTTCTCTTCACTCGTCTCTTTTTCTTTCTGTCTTTTTTTTTTCTTTTCATAATCGCAGTAGAAAG